TGGCTCCAGTGTCATCACACCCCCCCACCCAGCTCAACCAACTTGAAAACTCAAGAGTTCTTCATTATCTATTCACCTCTAGGTCTGGTTTACTTACCAGATTTTACATTGTCTATCTGCATTGTTTCTCATATCTGTACTAATCTTACAGATACACACTTATGTACCCAGCTTTCCTGTTTCTACTCCACACCCTGGTTTTTGGTCAGGTTCTCATTACTACTTGCTAGGCTATTGCAGTACCTCCTTGCTGGCCTCCTGCTTTCCCTGCTTTACTAGCAGTTGAATCTTTGGGAATGGTCATTCCTTTGAAGTGGCTTGTAGCTTTGAACTTGCCTAGCACAGTTTCTACCCCAATGGCACAGCATCAGATACTGCCATTTCTCCACGAAATATTACTAGATTCCAAAAACATCGCTGTTCTTTATACCCCAGTTGGGAAGTAATTACCCTTTTTTGAATTTCCAGAGTGCTTGGGATTTATAATAAAGATAACTGTAATGTCTAATATATAGCAATATAAGAAACACTTGCCTTTTGGAGATGGATGGTGGTGACAGTTGCACACAAGGTGAATGGACTTAATGCCACTGAACTGTATACTTAAAAATGGTTAAGATGGCAATTTTATGTGTATTTTACCACAGATTTTTTTTTAATTGCATAACTTTTGAATGATGGTAGCCTGATTAATGAAAAGATTTGGAAAAAAGATTTTGTTGTTTTAGGATAGATCTAGGGGCAGGAATAAGCTCCAGGGGAAAGGTTTTGGCTCAACATGAGGAAAAATTTTTTTTTTTTTTTAAGATTTTATTTATTTATTTGCGAGAGAGAATGAGAGACAGAGAGCATGAGAGGGAGGAGGGTCAGAGGGAGAAGCAGACTCCCCGCTGAGCAGGGAGCCCGATGTGGGACTCGATCCCGGGACTCCAGGATCATGACCTGAGCCGAAGGCAGTCACTTAACCGACTGAGCCACCCAGGCGCCCGAGGAAAAATATTTTAATAACCAGAACTTTCTTGGGGTGCCTGGGTGGCTCAGTTGGTTGAGCGTCTGCCTTCGGTTCAGCAGGCAGACTGCTTCTCCCTCTCCCTCTGCTGCTCCCCCTGCTTGTGCGTGCACTTGCTCGCTCGCTCTCAGATAAATAAAAAATCTTTAAAACAGAACTTCCTTAAAGAATAGCACTGTTAGGGCACCTGGGTGGCTCAGTTTGTCAAGCAACTGCCTTCAGCTCAGGTCATGACCCTGGAGTCCCAGGATCGAGTCCCACATCGGGCTCCCTGCTCAGCAGGGAGTCTGCTTCTCCCTCTGACTCTCCCCCCTCTCACGCTCTCTCTCTCAAATAAATAAAATTTTTAAAAAAAGCACTATTAATCAAAGTTAAAGAAATAAAATGAAAAGAAAAAGAAATGAGAGTTTTTGTGGCCTATGAGATTAACAAATTATATGGTATATCCATACTTTGGAATATCATGTATCAAAAAGAAATATGCTTAGTTTTTATAAGATATTCATGACATGAAGTAGGGAAAAAGCGGATTGTAGAACAGTAGCATGTTATAATCCCTCATATTAAAATTATTGTAGCTTGAGTGCCTGGGTGGCTCAGTTGGTTAAGCACTGCCTTCTGCTCAGGTCATGATCCCAGAGTCCTGGGATCAAGCCCATATCGGCCTCCCTGCTCAGCAGAGAGTCTGCTTCTCCCTCCGCCCCCCTTCACCCCTGCTCATCCTTACTTGCACACTCTCTCTCCCTCTCTCCCTCTTCCTCTCAGATAAATAAGTAAATACTTTTTAAAAAGTAAAAATTATTCTAGCTAGTCTTGAATTTAATTATATGTAACTGTTTAGATGCTTGTCATAATGTGGCTGGTATATTTAGGGAGTTTTTGGATTTCTTTATACATTTCGGTGTATTATAATTTGTAATAATAAGTATGTAGTACACGTGTAAACAGAAGATCTACCTCACCTTTTTCCTTGTAATATACCCACGTATAATTAATATAAAAAGTTAAGAGTTCTGACAGGAAGGTGAAATGTGCTGCCTTGAATAGCCTGTCAATTAAAGATATGTTAGTAGTTGCCATAGGAATGTTGTAGGAGATTGAACTATATCACCTTCGGGCCAGGTTGTTCCTTTACTCAGTTTTTTTAGAACTGTGGTAAAAGAAAAAAAAGAATTGTAAAACAAGTAAATATTTTGTCTTTGTCCAAGTTCCTAAAACCCTTGGGGTTATCTGAGTGGTAGAAGTCTCTGTTGCTGTTTATAAGGAGCCCCTTTTGGCCACATCTGAGTTTAGGCTAAGGAGGTAACTTAGGGCCCCTGGCAAGCCTCAGGATGGGGTTGGTCTCCCAAAAGACCAAATAGGTGATTGGAGAACTTTTCAGTCCCTCCCACCCACAGGCAGAGGGGATTGAGCTCTGTAAAACTGTTGAAAAGGCTCTATGTACCCTCTTGATTCGATGAGCTTCCGGGTTGTTGACTATATTGATGCTGCCCAGAGAAGACCTAGAAGCTTTGCATTCCCTTCTCACCTTGCCCAGTGCTTCACTGCCATTTGGCGTTTCCTGAGTTGTAAGCTGTATAGTAAACTGCTAATAGTAAGCAAGGCGTGTTCATGATTCCAGGAGTCATTCCAGCAAATTATCAAACCTAAGGTGGCGGGGTTGGTGGGGGGAGGGGGATGGCTTGTGGAAACTCCTGAGTTGATAGCCAAGTTGGACAGAAGTGCATGGGTAGTCTAGGCACTCAGGGCTTGACTCTGGCCTCTGAAGTGTGGATCATAGTCTTGTGGGACTACGCCCTTAAACCTATGGAGTCTGATGCTACTTTCGGGTGCAGTTAGTGTCAGGATTGAATTGAATTGTTAGACACTCAGTTGGGTGAAAAAGAGACTATATTTTTGTCGTCAGAAAACATTACACAATTGTATATTTTCCTGTTCCTGCAGTCAGATTACAGGCTCTTTGAAGAGAAGACTATCCCATCCTTTGTAGCATGTAGCCTAGTGATTTGTGCATAGTAGATGCTAAGTAAGAACAGTAAACTTTGCCCAAATGAAAGTGTTTTCTGTATTTAAGATTATGCCTTTCGGGCGCCTGGGTGCCTCAGTCACTGGGCGTCTGCCTTAGGCTCAGGTCATGATCCCAGGACCCTGGGATCGAGCCCCGCATTGGGCTCCCTGCTCTGCAGGGAGCCTGCTTCTCCTTCTCCCCCTGCTTGTGTTCCCACTCTTGCTGTCTCTCTGTCGAATAAATAATAAAGTCTTTAAAAAAAAAAAAAAAAAGATTATGCCTTTGGATGCAAGTTTTTCATCAAGTAATAGAAGTAGAGATTATTTTATGCTAAAGCAGTTTTCTTTTAAAAATATTTATAAATTGGGGCGCCTGGGTGGCTCATTCGGTTAAGCAGCTCAGGTCATGATCCCAGGCTCCTGGGATTGAGCCCCGCATCGGGCTCCCTGCTCAGCAGAGAGCCTGCTTCTCCCTTTCCCTCTGCCTGCCGCTCTGCCTACTTGTGCTATCTCTCTGTCAAATAAATAAATTAAAAAAAAAAAATTATAAATTGAATTTTGAAACCCATGGTTTGAGGGTGGGCTCTTAATGAAGACTTTCTAATTTATTTTCTTATAATCACAGAATTATACAACTGTCATCACAGTAATTTACCCCTCAGAAAAACCCCCTACCCACTAAGCATCACTCCCCATTTTCCTCCAGTCCTCCCAGCATTACCCCCATCTACTTTATGGATTTGTCTGTTTTGGATGTTTAATATAAATTAAAAATGCAATATGTGACTAGCTTTTTTTTATTGCCAGATAACATATTTATTTATTCATTGGTCATTTAATGGACATTTCTGTTGTTTTTACTTCGTGACTCTTGTGAATAATGTCCAGTAGAAGGACTCCTGAAGGTTGAGTATCAAGACAAATAGTAACCGTACTTCAGTTTTGTGGGAATGTCCTAATCTAGTTGGCCTGTGGGCCAGCTGCCTGTTTTTGTTGGGACACAGCCATTCATACCCATTCATTTTCAGATGGTCCCTGGCTGCTTTCATGCAGCAACTGCAGAGTTGAATAGTTGCTACAGAGACTGTGGCTCACAATCTGTCTCCCTGGCCTAGTCTGTTTTTGAAACTTTAACTTCAAGAAGTATCCTTCATGTTTACTAAATATCTTTTTCTCTGTTTCTTGTTTTTCGGCAGGCAGAGAACATTTATAATGATGAAGATCCTGAAGGAAGCGTGGATCCAGAAGGACAAGGGTCCTAGATATGTCTGCACTTGTTGTGATTTTAGACTCCCCTTTTTTTTCCTCTCAACCCTGAGATTGATTTAACACTGGTTTTGAGACACAGACTTTGTTTGGCTATCTCTCTATGATAGGTACCATCAACAATGTTATTAGCCCAAACAGAGGGTGTTTTCTAAGTATTAACTGGGGGACTTGATTCAGTAAAGCCACAGACTTATATTTAAATTTTCTTTAGGAATTTTCTAGTAACAAAGGTCTAAAGTAGCCACAGAAAGGGGAATATTATGTGTGGTTATTTTTCTTCTTAGGCTATATCCCCAAGTTTTTCAGACTCCTTTAAGTAAAGGCTAAAGTAAGGAAGGAGTAGAGCCAAGTGAGGTAGGTGTCTGAGCCATGAAGTATAAATACCACAAGATGTCATTTTTATTCAGGAAATGGGGGAGATTCAAGTCATATAAATTCCTATTCTAAAATTTTCACACCTGACTTTCCAGGATGCACATTTTCCTATGTAGACCAGTCTCCTCTCAGTTTCTTCAGTTAAGTCAAAACTATGTGTTCCTCTTTCCCCCATATATTTTTGCTTGTTAGTGTATTTCTTGAGCTGTTTTCATATTTCTTTCCTTTCTGTGAAATGGTTTTTTAAAAAACTTGGGACCACCAAGTTGTAAAGATGTATGTTTTTACCTGACAGTTATACCACAGGTAGACTGTCCAGTTGAGAAGAGTGAACTGATAGCTTGTATTTGTTTTTAAAATTAAATTAATCCTGGATAAGAGTTGCTTTTTTTTTTTTTTTTTTTTTTTTTTTTTTTAGGAGTTAGTCTTTGACCACTAGTTTGGTACCATCTCTATTTTGGGTGACCTGTTTCACCAGCAGGCCTGTTACTCTCCATGACTAACTGTGTAAGTGCTTATAATGGAATAAATTGCTTTTCTAAGTAACCCCATGCTGATGGGTTTTATTTGGTATACAACATTCATCAAACACCAGTCTGGCTTCTTGAAGAGTTGTTCAGAGGACAGTTACTGTGTATGGTCTTCAACTATCAAGAGCAGAATTAAATATAATAGACCCAGAGCTATAGAAAAGAGCTTTACTCCTTCCCAGGGAAAGTGCAAGACATGAAACACTGAGCCAGAGGTACACAGATTAGTCTTTGATAACATAACATCTTTTTGAAGTCTGTCCCTAGAGAACTACGTGGACTTCCAAGACTGTCAAAGGCAATGTGGCAGAGAGCATTTAAGGCAGACTTTATATTTGGAAAAGGTGTTTGAACCTTTTCCCATAGAGAGGTTGACTCCCCCCAGTATGTTTTTCACTGGAGCCTGTATTTAGAGGTTAGAAATAATAGGCCCTTGAAAGTCTTTATCACCAAGTGCCATAACCAGATAAAATGCCTGGTTCTTTGCCAGTCACTCAGTTTAACGGAGTACATCACTCTGACCCAAAATCATTTTCATGAGGCACAGTCTTTGGGGAAATCTGAATATCCTTAAACCTTTAGGTTCAAATCTAGATTGGTTTCTTTTTCCAAGTCAGTAGTTCTGAGTGTAGTGAAAATTACCTTGACACAGGAGTAAACTGTAGGAATCCACACAGACTTAAACTTTGTAAAAGGATTCACTTTAAAGTCTAACACTCATGGCACAAAATAATTCAAATTGTAAACCCATATCATGAAAATCTGCTGCCTTTTGACCCTACCTATGCTCCAAAAAGTTTTGGGTCAACACAAGGCAAGATATATTCTTCACAACACTAAAGTGTCCATACATCCATCATTTACTCTGTGCACATGGGAGTTGCTGCCAGAGGACAGAAGGTTCATTTAAAACAGGTCAGCCAGTATTTGTAACTTTCCCAGGGTGAATTGCTTGCCAAGTCCTTGGCACTCCCTTCTCTGGAAAAAAAGTATGTCCAAAGGGTACTTAGTGATCCTTTACTAAAAGGTTTTTTGTTTCTGGGTTACAGATTCGGCCATACGTTTCTAAACAGCCCCTGCAAGGTTGAGAAAAGAAAAAAGAATTAAGTTCCTACTTGGTGCAACTTGAAATAATACAGTGTAAAGTTCATCACAGCGAACTTCTGAAGTTTAGTTAGTGCTGGCTAAGCTGGGGAGAGAGTGCTAGAGTGTAATTTACATATGATTAGCGATGCATTTCTCCTCACCAAATGCCTATTTGGGTGCCTCCTATTTACAAAATTGAATGAATGGTGACCTATGTGGTGGTGATGGGAGGGGCTAGCTAGAGATTTTCTCTGCCCAGGTTAACCATACATGGGTATTAGAGTACTGGGGTTCTGTAGTTTCGTTTCTTAAGATGAGTTGTTGCCCTTTCCCTATTGTACTTTTAATCTGATCCACACAATGGTGTTTAACATATCATTTTCCTCAGTTACAAGGTTCTCTAATCTCCCAAACAGTAAGCGTAATCAGTCATGCCTGGATAAAACACGGTAAAAGAAAATGCTAATAAGTTAGGAAAAGTATCAGTTATAATTGTTATTTGTGAGTTTGTATCCAAGACACAAGATTAACTAGGAAATTAAGAATAATATTTATGGGCATCTGTCTAGTATACAACTTGACCCAGACCTTTTTTAATCCTTAGTTTCTTTATCCTAGAGAATCTAGGACTTCATACAGAATATAAGAACATTAGTATATAAAGAAATGAATGGATAGGTGTCTTGCTTGTTTCATATATTAAGCAATAATCCTGTCCCACAGGCTATAAACAACATCCACTTGAGCCTTCTTTATGACTTCGAGATTAATTTAGCCTTTTGGCCTCCGTTGTCACAGTCTGAATTAGGTAGCATAACTGTCTTCTCTGCTATTCTAAGGAAGCTATTTATGAATACCAGATGGGGTAGGATAGGCCAAGGAAAGTAAGAATGCACAGAGCCCGGATGTGTCATCCTGTTAGAGAATTCCTGGTGATAATTAGAGCATATTTTGAGTCCTGCTAGAAACAAACATTCCAAGTGACCCCTGAATGCTTAAACCAGGCAATGTGGAGGTATGCGTTACTCCTAATGGACTTGTCATTTGACACACTCTTTTCTTAAGGCATTAGTATTGTTAAGTTAGGAGCAGCAATAAAGCAAACACCACTCTTACATCCTCAAGGATCACCTTGAGACTGTGTCTCGGTTCCACCTGCCTGAGAAGTGGGAGCGTTAGCCTGTCCCAGGCTCTTGGGTAGCATAGCCCTTTAAAAAAAGAGATCCATTTTCCATCTGTCATGGATGAGCACAATTTGGAAATCATTTCCCAAGTCACTTTTTTGCTTTTCCCTGTTAAGTGAAATTTCCCCCGAGCAACATCTGCCCTCACCACCATCCCCTCAGCCAGTGTTGGTTAAGATCTGAGTAGCAGCAGAAACTGACTTATAAGTGGAGAGCTCTTCAGCAAGGCTGATCCTTAGCTGCTCCATCTCTTTGTTCTTCTGTTGCTGGAGTTGCACCCCGCTCCTTAACTGCCTCTGTCGTTCTTCCATTTCCTCCAGCTGTTCCTGCAGTGAGAAGGCCAAGAACATCTCTAATGAAGAATAGTAAAAGAAGGCCAAGAACATCTCTAATGAACAGAATAGTAAAAGAAGGCCAAGAACATCTCTAATGAACAGAATAGTAAAAAATGAACATTGTCCGTTACAGTTGATAAAGCACTTTTTTACACATGGTTTAACCTTCACACCAGTATTGAGGTTGAGAATCTGAGGTTCAAAGAGGTGTTTGGACAAAGCGATCCTACTCTTGCCAATGGTGACCTGAAAGGGGTCTTGTCTGTACCCGCAGATGACTGTTTAATAGAATCCTGCAAAGGGTGGGTGGGTGCTCAGAGGGATTTTTGTTTTGTTTTGCAGAGGGATTTTGTTTTGTTTTGGAGTTTTGTTTTCTAAGATTTTATTTGCCACAGAGAGACAGCAAGAGAGGGAATATAAGCAGGGGGAGTGGGAGAGGGAGAAGCAGGCTTCCCACGGAGCAGGGAGCCTGACGTGGGGCTCGATCCCAGGACCCTGGGATCATGACCTGAGCCGAAGGCAGATGCTTAACGACTGAGCCACCCAGGTGCCCCTATTTTGCAGTTTTAAGTGTGGGGGAGAATTTTGGTCCTCTAGTTGGTGTGCTGAGAGTTTCATGGACCTCTGGCTTGTGCAAGTTTGTTTCTATTAGGATAATCAGTTTTTATATCATCCTGCAACTTAAGTTAAAGGAAACCAAGTCTTGGGGCACCTGGCTGGCTCAAGTCTGTGGAACATGCAACTCTTGATCACAGTGTTCTAAGTTCGAGCCCCGTGTTGGGTGTGGAGCTTAAAAAAAAAAGAAAAAAAAATCTTTGTAAGCAATTATTAACTGTAATTCCAGGAGAGTTCAAGTACTAGAAGTCCAGTTGTTTACAGGAAAAACAGTAAATACAAGTTTTATATTTGAACCTCCTTCAAGACCAAGATAGCTCTACCTGGTACTTAACTGTAACATCCTATGCAAATAGGTGCTTTATTAGGATGTTGGCTATCACAATGGTTAATTTCCTATATCCTGTACTCATTACACTAAAAGACTGAATTCATTCCAAAATGCTAAATTGGAAGATGGAAGAAGCAATGCCCTGGAGGCCCTCAGGAGCCGTAAGATAACTGTTTCCCATTCTGCCAAAACCAGACAGGATACGTTCTGTAAACTGTCTCTGCCCAGGATTAATGCCTGAGGAGTGAGGTAAGGAAGATGTCAGCCAGTCAGTCTCTGGCATAGCTGCTAGCTGGCGTGGATCCTCGGGAAGCATGAGGGAGATGGGAAGGGAAGGGAAGTTGAAGTTGGAAGGCCTATTTTAAAGATTTTTTTTTTTTTTTTGACAGAGAGAGACATAGCGAGAGAGGGAACACAAGCAGGGGGAGTGGGAGAGGGAGAAGCAGGCTTCCCCGCGGAGCAGGGAGCCCGATGCGGGGCTCGATCCCAGGACCCCGGGATCATGACCTGAGCCAAAGGCAGACGCTTAACGACTGAGCCACCCAGGCGCCCCGGAAGGCCTATTTTAAAGGGGTAATGATTTCACCTCAGATTTTGAAGAAGAGTAAGACAGGAATCCAGTTTGGGTACATGCTGTTATTAGAAGGGTCTAAATAATTGGTTCTCTGAGTCACCCTTGGTATACCTGTAGCACATCAGTCTGCAGTGTTTGATACTCTGGCTGAATCTCCACATCCATCAGCCTTACCAAAAGGCCTTTTTTTAGCACCTTAGCCATACTTCGGCACCACACAGAGACGCAGCCTTAGCATCTAAGCCTGTCTTCTGAAGGGAAGCATCTGCATACCTCTGCCCCAGTTTCCCAAGCCAGGAAACCTGTATTTTGGTGAGGCATAAAGGTATATGCTTGGGAAGGCAGTCTGTACCATCAGCGATAAACTGACGGAGGAACGGTGTCACAGAAAGAAGTAAATACTGCTATGGCGACTGGCATTAAACACGACCTCCAGTCTTAATGCTGGGTAGCACCAACCAGATTAACTTTCCAAAAACTGCTTTATCAGCTCAGTCTTTCAAAGGCTTTCCATCTTTTTAGTCTGGCATTCAGACCCCTCTAGTTTGACCCCTACCTCTAACTAGAACCTCCATCATTCTTCATACGAACCCTTCGCCCTAGCCTGCACCGTGTTGAATGGAAGCCGCTGCAGGCCACGTGTGGCTGGCTCTCAGGTACTAGAACTAGGGTCTGTCACCTAAACAGTGGCTGCTATGTTGTATCACTATCTTTTTTATTCATGTCTAACTCCCAGTCAGATGGTAGGTTCCTGTCCAGCACCCTACACATAATGCTTGCTGTGAAATATGTAGATAGAGTAAACATTCCATAGTTCAGCCTAAGCGACCTACCATTTTCAGCTAAAAACTTTGACAATGTTCTCAGCAAATTCCTTGTACCACCTACTGCACCAGTCACCAAATCCTACGCAAATATTTTACTTCACGTATCTTACATTCTCTCTCCCTCAAAGTGGTCTTTCCAGGCTCTCTCAATTCATCCTGCACACTGCCATTTTTAAGAGCACATACCTATGTGCCAGGCACCATTGGAAATGCTTCACAAATATGACCTCATTCCTTGCAAGAGCCCTGTGATGTGAATTATTACTAATCCCAGTTTACATGTGAGGGACTGGAGTCACAGGTTAAGTAATTTGTCCAAAGTTTCCCAGTTAGAAGTGGTAGAGCCAGGGGCGCCTGGCTGGCTCAGTCGGAAGAGCCGCTCAAACGGCTCTTGATCTCAGGGTCGTGAGTTTGAGCCCCATGTTGGGTGTAGAGATGAGTTTAAAAAAGTGGTAGGGCGCCTGGGTGGCTCAGTTGGTTAAGCCACTGCCTTCGGCTCAGGTCATGATCCTGGAGTCCCGGGATCGAGTCCCGCATCGGGCTCCCTGCTAGGCGGGGAGTCTGCTTCTCCCTCTGACCCTCCTCCCTCTCATGCTCTCTGTCTCTCATTCTCTCTGTCTCAAATAAATAAATAAAATCTTAAAAAAAAAAAAAAGTCTCTTAAAAACAAACAAACAAACAAACAAAAAAAGTGGTAGAGCTAGGATTTGCCACTGGCTTAGGGCTCATGCTGTACAACCCCTTTGCCGCCTTCTTATCTATCGTCTCTTCGGTGGTCCTCAGACTTGGGCATGAAACCCCAGGAGGAGGCCATATTGAAGTGCCCTTGCCACAGAAAGTAGCTCCTCACTTTTGCCATTCCACATAAGATTCCGTTTGGGGGAAACGGGTCTGTGGCTTTGGAGGAAACCCTTTTTTTTTGAAAACCACTGACTGAACACATCAAACCCTTTACACTCCGGTCCCAATCTACCTCTCCAGCCACATCTGTCTACTGCTTACATTCTTTATGATTCAGCCACACTGAGCTCACTTCCCTTAACAATGTCTTTTTGTGTTTCTATGCTTTTGTGTAAGCTGTTCCCTCTGCCTGGAATGCCTTTCCCTTGTCTACCCAGTGGATTGATTCTTCAACGCTCAGCTCAAACACCTTGTGGAAGTTGAATATGAACTTGAGCTAGATTGCCCAGGGTCAGAATCCTCCTTCCATCACCTCCTAGCCATATAACCCTGAAGAAATGACTTAACTTTTTTGTCTCATCTCTCTTATTTTTCACAGTGACTAATTCATTCGTACCTATCTCACAGACAGGTAAGGATTAAATGAATTAATACATGTAAAGAACTAAAATTATGCTAGCTGTTGTTAATCCTCATGAAATTTCCCCTTTGCTTCCCAAGGCTTCCCAAGGCACTTGGGATTCACAAATCTACTTCACTGGTACAGTGCCTTATTCCTACAACTATTACAGTGTTTATTACATTGAAGAATATTATTTCATTGATTCTAAGGCTTTCACATTTTAACATCTCAGGTCAGGGTGCATTTTAAAAACAAGTGTCTTAGATTTTATGAAATATATTCATTTTATCTGGTATCCTTCCTGGACTATAAACCATTTGAGGGCAGGAACTACCCCCCCTCTCCGAGCCATTTCTCATCTTCTTCTCTGCCAGCACCTAACTCACTGCCTGGCACATGGTAAGTAGGCACTAAGAAAGTATTTGTTGAATGAACAGGTGATGGCGATGAAAGAGGCAAAGTTTACAACTGCAAGAGTGAAGTGTACCCTTGAAAAGTAGTCAGATGCCATAAGTGACCTTTGGCAAACAGTCTGGGAAGCCATTTCAGAAAGAATTTGCTCACTTAGACCTTGATTCCCACTTTATGAAACAGCAATAGGAGACATTTCATCAAGCGTGTTTTTCATAGAATGATCTTTGGAAACCTGCAGCGACCATCAGATCTGAAACAAATCCAGTACCCTGATGAAAATCACAGGGGGGGGGGAACATTCTTTTTTTTTTTTTTTTTTTTTTAAGATTTTATTTATTTGACAGAGAGAGACACAGCAAGAGAGGGAACACAAGCAGGGGGAGTGGGAGAGGGAGAAGCAGGCTTCCCGCAGAGCAGGGAGCCCAATGTGGGGCTCGATCCCAGGACCCTGGGACCATGACCTGAGCCGAAGGCAGATGCTTAACCAACTGAGCCACCCAGACACCCCAAGGGGGTAAACATTCTACAACCCTCATTTTGTGTCAGAAAACTCCCCCAAAGGGAGCGCCTGGGTGGCTCAGTTGGTTGGGTTGGGTGCCTGACTTGATTTTGGCTCAGGTCGTGAGATTGAGCCCCATGTCAGGCTCTGTGCTCAACACAGAGTCTGTTTGTCCCTCTCCCTCTGCTCCTCCCCCTGCTCATGCTCTCTCTCAAATAAATTAAATATTTAAATAACAAAAAGCTCCCCCAGAGGATTCCCTGTTGATGGCACCACTGTCCCAGTGAGCCTTGCCTGAGGTCTCAACACCCTCTGTGACTTCTCACCTCCGCCCCCTTCATTCAGTGGCCACGTTTATCCTGCATTTGTTCTCGAATCCATCCCCTTTCTTGTATTCCCCCTACCATTTTTTCCTCTTACCTATCATAGCTTCCTAATTAGTCCCTAGCTTCTAGGTCTCCAGCTCATTTTGCACACTGCCACCAGGAATTTTTCTAAAAGTAGAGAGGCGGTCATGTTACTCCCTTTACTGATGCAGCTGACTACTGAATGAAATCCACATTCCCTCGTCTGGATTTCAGAGTCCAATATGATCTCAAATCACCTTTCAGTTTCTTTTTCTTTTTCTTTTCTTTTATTTATTTGAGACAGAGTGAGAGAGAGCGAGCTAGCATGATTGGGGGAGGGGCAGAAGGAGAAGCAGACTCCCCACTGAGCAAGAGCCCGACGCTGGGGAAGGGTGCTCCATCCCAGGACCCCAGGATCATGACCTGAGCCACCCTGGCACCCCACCTTTCAGTTTTTCACCTCTCACATATTTGGCATATGTCGTGTCAAATATATTAAAATTACCTTCACCTATTTCTTTTTACTTTTTTAATGTGACTACTAGAAAGTTTAAAATTCTGTATGTGGCTTGCGTATTTCTTTTGGACAACACTGGTCTAGGTCTTGCCTAAACTTCAGTACCCAGCTCAAATAATACTCATTCTTCCATGAAGTGTTCTGTGCCTTAACCGATGACTAAAATAATTTCGTTATCCTATAGCACTTTTAGCTGCACCTCTCTTAAATCACATGCTGCTTTCTCCCCAGGTTACAATTATTGTCTGAGTACAAGCTATTAAGGATAGTATTTATTTAAAAAAAAAACAACAACAAAAAAACGCTCTTTCACTAGATTGTGAACCAATAAAAAAGCAGTGGGGGAGGGGATTGAGGGTAGTACACGATACATTCACTATTAGGACCAAAAGCTCCATTGCTTTCATAATACAAGCTATAGAAAGCTTGACAAAATCTTAAGTGAAGTGAATGCAGCCATTTTCAACAGGGGACCTGTTCCTTGAAGGATGTATCAGACTACCTGGAAGGGCGTAAGCTTTTTAAATTTATCCAAAGGAACGCGTGTTTCAAAAGATGAAAATACTGCTCTGAGAGGCTCTCACAGTGGTCCGCGGTGCTTACGTCAGCACTTAACTGATATGTCCCCTGAGCCGCAGCGGCAGAAGTAAGTAAACCATACTCCCTTCTGAAAGCTCACAGTCTGTGGGAGACAGACAAAATTGTGTTTTCACTTAGTATTTATATCCCACTCTGCCTATAAAGAGATTAGGGGGCACCTGGGTGGCTCAGTCAGTTAAGCGTCTGCCTTCGGCTCAGGTCATGATCCCAGGGTCTGGGGATCGAGCCCCGCATAGGGCTCCCTGCTCACCAGGGAGAAGCCTGCTTCTCCCTCTCCCTGCTGCTCCCTCTGCTTGTGTTCTCTGTCTCTCTGACAAGTAAATAAATAAAATCTTAAAAAAAAAAAACCAAAAAACTGGCTCACACTTAATCAGAAGTAACTCGAATACAAGCGAAATGGTGACAATGCACTAAAAAAGAAAATGAGGACTAGAGCTTTATAGATTTCATCCCAGTTGTGTGTGTGTGTTTTTAAGTAATCTCTACACCCAGTGTAGGGCTCGAACTCATAACCTCGAGATCAAGAGTTGCGTGCCCTACTGAACAGAGCCAGCCAGGTGTCCCTCATCCCAATTTTATTATTATTATTTTTTAAGATTTTATTTATTTATTTGAGACAGAGAGAATGAGAGAGAGAGAGCACATGAGAGCGGGGAGGGTCAGAGGCAGAAGCAGGCTCCCCGCCGAGCAGGGAGCCTGATGCGGGACTCGATCCAGGGACTCCAGGATCATGACCTGAGCCGAAGGCAGTCGCTTAACCAACTGAGCCACCCAGGCGCCCCCCTCATCCCAATTTTAAAACTGGGAAGCTTCAGGCAGAGATGGGACAGGTGAGACTTGAGGATGAATACACGGGGAGGGAGAGAAGGAACATCCCGCCTAGCCTCGCCCCTCTTGCTCTCTCTACTCAAGCACGATTCATGCAGAATTGGAAAATTGTACTGTGGAAAGTGCACTGAAATATTCAGGGTTGGTCAGATCAGGGGGCAAAAATCCCCAGCTCAGGGGCGCCTGGGTAGCTCAGTGGTTAAGCATCTGCCTTCAGCTCAGGTCATGGTCCCAGGGTCCTGGGATCGAGCCCCACATTGGGCTCCCTGCTCGGCGGGAAGCCTGCTTCTCCCTCCCCCACTCCCCCTGCTTGTGTTCCCTCTCTCGCTGTGTCTCTGCCAAATAAATAAAAATCTTTAAAAATAATAATAATAAAATAAATAAACAAGCAAATAAAATCTTAAAAAAAAAAAAAAAAGAAAATCCCCAGCTCACTGAGCCTGCTTCCTCATCTATGAAAGCAGTAATCCTTGATTCGGAGGATTAACGAGAGGACCGAGTGACGACGGTGTCGGGGTGCAGCATGCACTAGGGGCGCAGACTGTTCTCAGCCCCTAGCACGGGCCTGACTGAGTGGAATGAAGAGTGGAGTAAGGAAGTGAGTGGACGTCCCAAGGAGTAAGCTGTTCTTCCCACACGAGAGAGGATCCTTCAAAGTGCCCGGAAGACTTTTGGCTCCGGTCACGTCCTCCTTCCCCGGCTAACGGGCTGCACTTGTGTGGGCGCCCAGGGGGCCTACCCGGTACTGCTGCACCTCCTCATCTCGCTTGTGCCTCACAAGCCTGATCTGCTCCTCCACGTTCCTGTTCTGCAGCTGGAGCTGCCGGGCCTCTGCTTGCAGGGATCTCAGAGCCTCCTTCATCTCTTGGATCTCGGCCTGGGTTTTCTGTAGAGCTTTGGCCGCAGCTTCTTTCCTCTCTAGAAGGCGCAGCAGCTGAGGCTCATACTCCTCCTCCAGGCCCTGGCGGCTCTCGGCCATGAGGTTCTCAAACTGGGCAGAGAGCCGCCGGCTCTCTTGGAGAAAGTGCTCGTCCCTCTGGCTTGGAGGGGCTTCTAGTTGTTGCCGTAGCTGCTCCTTCTGCCTCCGGTAGGCCTCCCGGAGCTGGACCAGTTCCTCGGAGAGCTGGGCTGCCCGGGTGGTCAGCGCGTCCCGGAGCTCGGCAAACTGGGCCACGTCCTGCCGGTGGCACTCCAGCTGGTACTGGCAGGCCACACACTCCTTGGTCACCTTGAACAGCCTCTGCTTGACCAGCCGGATCTCCTCCCTTAGCCCGTCCCTCTCCAGCTCCACCTGGGCGTGCAGCTTGTAGGCAGCCAGGATGTCCTGGTGGACCTGCTGCACCTCCTGCAGGGCTGGTTCCCGGAGCAACACCAGCTCGTGGATGAGCTGGTCCCTCTCCCCTTCCAGCTGGGCCACAGCTTGGACACACTGCTGGAAACGCTCCTCCAGCAGTTCCAGATCCTCTATGCTCAGACCGTCTGTGCTGGGACTAGGCCCGGCGCTGAGGCCCTCCTCAGGGCGAGCTGTCTCCTCGCTCATGCCCGTCTCTCCCCCATCACCGGTCTGCTCTGGGCTTGTGGTCTCTTCTGGCTTCGCGGGCTCTTCCACATAGAGGATCTCCTCTGGCTTCGCAGGCTCGTCCACATCCAGGGCCTCCCCTGGCTGCCTGGTCTCCTCGATGTGCAGTGTCTCCTCGGGCTTCTCCGTCTCTTCCACACACAGTGTCTCATCTATCTCATCGAGGTCACCTTTGTCCCCCAGGAAGAGAATGTCCTCTAAGTTCAAGGTCCCCTTCAAAGACAGACTCACTTCTGGGTCCAAAGTCCCCACCTCAGGGGGGGATTCAGAGTTCTCTTCTTCAAGAGGAGAACTGGCTTCTGCTCTTGTTTCCCTGCAAGAGAAATGACTTAAAGTGAGAGGACAGCCACAATCCCAGGATGGTTGGCAATGGGAGCCTTTAGGGTTATATCCGGGTTGCACATCTCAGAGGGCACGTGTCTGCTCCCACCCCCGTCCACGCATCGCTCAGGTCCCCTGACAGCATCCCCATGATGTCAGTGTCTCGTCTCTGCTTACATACATACATACCTTCAAGGCCGGGACACTCACACCTGAGCCGCCACGATTTGTTCCGCTGTCATAAGAAAATTCTAGTGTTGAAGTAAAACCTTCTCTGCAATTTTTTTTTTTAAAGATTTTATTTATTTATTTCAGAGAGAGAGAATGAGAGCGAGCACATGAGAGGGGGGAGGGGCAGAGGGAGAAGTAGACTCCCTGCAGAGCAGGGAGCCTGATGCGGGACTCGATCCCGGGACTCCAGGATCATGACCTGAGCCGAAGGCAGTCGCTCAACCAACTGAGCCACCCAGGCGCCCTTTCTCTGCAATTTTTAAATTTTAATTTAATTTAATTTTTTTAAAGACTTTATTAATTTATTTGACAGAGAGAGAAAGTGAGCACAAGCAGGGGGAGCAGAGGGAGAGGGAGAAGCAGGCTTCCCGACGAGTGGGGAGCCCTACGTGGGGCTTGATCCCAGGACCCTGGGACCATGACCCGAGCCAAAGACAGATGCCCAACCAGCTGAGCCACCCAGGCGCCCCTCAGCAATATTTTTTAAAAGATTTATTTATTTTAGGGGCACCTGGCTGGCTCAGTTGGTTAAGCGTCTGCCTTTGGCTCAGGTCAGGATCCCAGGGTCCTGGGATTGAGCCCCAAATTGGGCTCCCTGCTCAGTAAGGAGCCTGCTTCTCCCTCTCCCTCTGCCTGCCGCTCCCCCTGTTTGGCTCGCTCACTCTGTCAAGTAAATGGATGGAATATTTTTTTTTAAAGATTTATTTATTTTAGGGAGAGAGAGAGGATGGGAGGAGGAACAGAGGGAGAAGGAGAGAGAAACTTAAGCAGACTCCACGCGGAGCACAGAGCCCAACTCCGGGCTCAATCTCACAACCCTGAGATCACAACCTGAGCCAAAACCAAGAGTCAGACACTTATCCGACTGAGCCACCCAGGCGCTCCTTGTCTGCATTTTTTACCTAGACTTGATTCCTCTTTCTAGAATCCTCTTTCTAGACAAACCTAACTACTTTCTCATGTAAGTTCTTTAGACACCTAAAGAACAGTAACATCTTTCAATTATTCCATGCATGCCAAAGTGTCCAGTGCCCTCCTCATTTGGATCACTTCTTTTTGACTAGGCTCCAAATTGTCACTGTCCCTTGGGGATGGGTATTGGAAAGAGTACCCAGATGTGTTCCGAGCAGTGAATCTCTGGACACTATACTCCTATTGATAAAGGCTAATATTGCCAACATAGAACAGCTCTATCATATTGTTGACAAATACTGAGTTTGACTAAAAGCCTTAAGACTTTTTCACACCAAGTGCTTTTAAATCACATCTCTCGTTCCTGTAAAACTTCATTCCTCTTGTTGGGGCGTCTGGGTGGCTCAACTGGCTAGGCATTTGACTAAGGGCTCTAGGATTGAGCCCCACGTTGGGCTCTTCTCTGGGCGTGGCGCATGCTTGAGATTCTTTCTCTCCCTTTGCCCCTTCCCATCCCCCCCTCCCTCTCCAAAATAAAACAGAACAGAACAAAATAAAACTTCATTCATCTTGTTAGGACTGGCCCATCCTCTGGCCTGTCAAAGGCTCTTGAATTCAGATTCTGTGATTCTAACGGAGAAGCTCCTTAACCCAGCGGCCAGTTAGTTGCCTGCTAGCTCAACCAGTTCCTGTTAAGGAATAGCCTCCTGCTTCTTTGGCCTTCAGATGGCTTTGGTCCTTCCTGTTTCCAATGCATCTTACCTGCCTTGGATCTCTGAGCAGTTCTTTGAAAATATAAAATACCATGGAAATAACAATAAATTATACTTATAAAGGTCTTATATGTGGGGCGCCTGGGTGGCTCAGTCGTTGGGCGTCTGCCTTCGGCTCAGGTTATGATCCCAGGGTCCTGGGCTTGACCCCGTATCGGGCTCCCTGATCAGAGGGTAGCCTGCTTCCTTCTCCCTCTCCTGCTCCCCCTGCTTGTGTTCCCTCTCTCGCTGTCTCTCTCTCTGTCAAATAAATTAATTAAAAAAAAAGAGAGATTAAGTAGTTTGCTCAAGGGAACTCAGATACTCCTTGGGCACCAGTTATAAGACAGTCTAAATCTGAGTATAGTTTTAAAGAAAACTACTTTAGATATAAAGTATAAATGAAAAGCCCCTGTATCAAAGAATTTATGTCTTGAAAAAGCTTACTTGTGGGGTGCCTGGTGGCTCAGTCGGTTAAGTGTCTGCCTTTGGCTCAGGTCATGATCCTGGAGTCCCAGATTCAGGCCCGCATAGGGCTCCCTGCTCAGCGGGGAGTCTGCTTTTCCCTCTGCCCCTCACCCCACTCGTGCTCGCTCTCTCTCTCTCAAATAAAAAAATATATATATATGTATATATATATATACATCTATCTTAAAAAAAAAGAAAAGGCCTACTTGTGTCCAGGTTTTAAGCTCTATATCTTAGCTCCAAGTTCCCACTACAGATTATTTTTATTCTAAGATTTGATTTATTTATTTTGAGAGAGAGAGAGACAGAGCATGCGCAAGCAGGGGGAGGACCAGAGGCAGAGGGAGAGAGAGAATCTCAAGTGGACTCCATGCTGAGCATGGAGCCTGACAAGGGGCTGGATCCCACAACTATGAGATCATGACCTGAGCTGAAATCGAGTCAGACGCTTAACTGACTGAGCCACCCAGGCGCCCCCAGATTATTTTTCTTCTAAATCATTGTGTATTCTGTCCTCCTCTCTAACACCCCAGGAATCCCTGGCTTCCCATTCTGTGTCTCATGGTGGCCTTCAGGAAACCACAAGTGTGGCTTCACCAGGCCCCGGACGTCCCTGGCCTCACACCACCCAGCACCTGCACTGAAACCTAAAGCTTGAAGACAGCCTCCAGAGTCACCTAATTAGTTCGTCCCCGTCCCTCTACCAGAGAGGGTGTTGTTTAGATCGCTTCAGCTGGTGTCACTTGGCATCTCAAACTATCCTCCTCCCTGGGCTTGCTACACCTGTATTCTCCAGCTCGGAGAAGCACAGCCCCATACAGCGGGTTGAGGAGGCAAAGAATCCTTAAGCAGCTCTTTCCCTCACCCATGTAGCCAACTCGCTGAGAACTGACCGATCTCAGAAAGTCTTCAGTCTCTGGCCCCTCCTCACCCCCTTGCCGGGGCCCTACTCCAAGTCATCACCACACACCTGCACTTGCGTGAGAGCCTTCCGACGGGCTTTCTTCCTTCTCACGCCTGTCCATTCTCTACAGTCGACGGGCTTTCTTCCTTCTCACGCCTGTCCATTCTCTACAGTGCCACAGCTTGCCAGAACGTAGCCGGGGCGCACCACTTCACGCACGGACAGCCCACTGCCTAGCATAGATTCAAAGCCCTTAACCATGTGGCCCCAACATACCTTTTCAGCCTCAGCTCGCACTACTCCCTGCCTCCCACCCAGGGCTTGACAATCCAGAACATGCGGCAACATTTTCACACCTCCTACTCCTAGCCCACTATGTCTAAAGGATCCAGCTGAGAAAATACAGCTTACTGTAGGCCACCGGATTAGCGAACAGCCTTGCACTACCTGGAAAGGTAGAGCTCCTAGCGCCAGGAAGGATGCACCTGCTCAGCCAGCCAGACCCCCTTCGGTCCTCAGTAGGGCCCCTGCTTTCCCAGCAGACGGCCCTCACACGCTCTTGCTGAGTCCTCTCCCCTGGAATGACGGAATTGTGTTCAAGGCAGGATTCCAAGTCTTTCACGCGAATAGTCAGGTACATGAGGCTCATCTTTTACCCCCATTTTGTACGTGAGGACACCAAAGCACTGAGTAAAGAACTCAAAGTTCCACGACTTGTAAGTAAGTGGCGGCGCTTGCAGAAGATGGCCTCGGGCTCCAAAGCTGGGTGGAGCTCCCGCTGACCCCTCTGCTCCCAGAACAGCCCTGAGTTCTACAACAGGTGCAACAGCTACAGCAGGGCTAACGCAGCTTAGCATTCAAAATAGACTTATTTACCTACTCGTAAATGTCTGCTCATCCTTCAAGCCCTGCTCAAACTGCATCTCTCCCCCAAAGTATTTCGCAGACAGACCCATTATGGCGTTCTCAAGGCCCTCTGTGTGCAGCTCATCATTGCACTTAGCGCTCTGTATTACAGCAGTGAGTGTGTCCGTGTCCCCTGAGGGTCCATTTCCTAAGGACAAGTAATGCTCTCATTCCCTGGGCACCTCAGGGTGGGGCTCTGTAGAGGGAAGTCAGGCAGAAGCTGACTGGGGTCCAAGGAGGAAACTTGCCCAAGGTCAAGTGGCCCAGCTGGACGTGGAACCCTGTCCCCCTGACCCCCAGGCAGCGCTGTTACCCCCCACACTGTGGTGGCCGCCGTCACCCCCCCCCCCCCCCCAGCGCCAGGCCTCTGCTAGAGACTGCCCTCACCCAGCTGTCTCTCTCTCAGAGCCGGGGAAAGTAGAGAATGGGGGGTCTAGGGGCTGGCGAGCTGGCTCAGCTGGGGGCCCTGACCTCAGGCTTCCTTGGGCTCCAAGCTGCCTGCCTCTGCCGCTCGGTCCCTGGTGCTGAAGGGCTGCAGCAGCTCCCGCCGCTGCATCAACGCCACGGCTAGGAGTGTCTGTGACCCTGACCCAGCGCGGGCGTGAGTCGGTGTGTACCTGGCTGCGTGTACTCCTGTGTGTGTGGCCATGCAAGTGGTCGTGCGTGTAAAACTATGCTCAGCTTTGCGCTGTGTGTGACACCGAAGGGGGACGGTGTGGGTGTGGGTGCACCTCCACCTCTTCGGGGTACAGTCTGACCTGGGGCAGAAATCCTCCCTGCTGGCCCCAATCCCTGAGCCACAGGCCCTTTCCCCCTAAGCAGTGGCGAGCTGGCAGTGTGGATGGTCCCGGGAGGGCCTCGGCGGCTGCCAAGGTCCTCCTCCCGGCCCGGGACGGGCGACCCTCCCCACCCCCAGCCCCCATCGCAGATCTCAAACAAGAGAGAGCGAGCTGCCAGAACAGACTCGTAACTCCAGGCTGGCAGCCGCCCAGCCTGCACCAAGTCTCTTCCACACAGCGAATTCGGCAACCGGAGGCCTCCTCTCCAGTTGCATTTGGGGTGAGACATGAAGGAAAGCGAGGAGCCAGCAGCGTCCTTGGCCACTCCGGCCCAGTGGCATCTGATGGTCGATGCCCACCAGTCCGAAAGGGCTCATTCTCACCCAGGCCCGGGAAGAGGCGGGCGTGGGGGCTATAAAAAGCCACGGACAAGCGGAGGTGCCGGGACCCCGGGCCTCCCCCACCCTCCTCGGCCGGTGGCTCCGCCCGGTGTCAGTACCACACCCCGGCTGGCCCACCACCCGCAGCCAGGACAAAGGTGCTCGCGGGGGGGGGGGGGGGAAGGGGGGCTCCTCCAGCGCCCCCTCCCCACTGGACGGCGACGCGGGCCCTGCACGGTCCTACCTCGCGGCCTGGGCGGCGCCGTCCCCGCCGTGCCGGGGCTCCGGGCTGGCCATGGCTGCGCGACCCCGGGCTGGGCGGCCGCGTTATTAATAGCCGGCCCCGCGGGCCGCTCGCTCCGCGCCCGCGCCCGCCGCACTGGCAGCTGCCGCCGACACCGGATCCCGCCCGCCCCGGGCCGGGCGCGCCCACTTGGCCCCAGCTCCCGCCCGCGGGAGGAGGGAGCGGGCCGCGCGGCCGGGGGCGGGGGTGGGGGGTGGCCGATCGGCGTCGCCCAGACCGGCCCGCCCCGAGCTCTTCCCGAACCTTCTTTCCCTTCACCCTTTCTTTCCAAGGGTCCCAGTTGCGGGGGGCCGGGGAGGAGGGTGGCTCTGCGGCCCCGGGAGAGCACTGCCCCTGCCCGGCCGGCGGGGGCAGGGGTTTGGGGGGGGGGGACGGAGAGGGACCCAGCACCCCAGCGCGCACAGCTCGGCGCCCTGCGATCCCCACCCGCGGCGGGGGCGGGGGGGGGCGGAGGAGAGGCCAGAGCGCCGTGTCCCGCAGCTGTCCTGAAGGGCTGGGGGAGGAGGTGTCACGGCCACACCCCGTGCGTTTGGGGACAGCCGGGAGCCTGTTGCCGGGGTTAGGGAAGGGCGGTGGGAGGACTGCGTGGAGGGGTTTAAGCCTATAAGGTCCAGTCCAGATATAACACCGAGGTCCACCCCCGCGCTGCGAGGTTTCCTGGAGTCTCTCCGCTCGCTCCACCTGTCACCCGACCCAGCCCCGTTTTTGTCCCCTCCAAGGCATGCCCCCTCCCCCAAGGCCTTGGCCCATTAGAGTCAGGGTCAAATTTCAACACTGAAGTCTTTCTCCCTAAGCCAGAAGCTGCCGGCCCCATCCCAGACCTGGGCCTCGGGCATTCTTCCTTCTGATGCCTTTTTTCCACTTAACCCCTGTCTGGGGAGGTCTTTGACTCAATCACAGAAGAATGCTCTGCACTGTAAAGAGCGAGGGGCTGGATGTGTGTTTAATCAGAGAGGCCTTGAGCACGGGCGCCGGGGGGGGGGGGGGGGGGGGGGGGTGGGTAATGGTGCCGCTGTGTTGAGCGTGTGAGGGTTGTGTGTTGCGATCAGTGTGCCCACTGCAGGCTGCGTGAACACTACACGGGTGTGTGTGCAGGGGGAGAATGTGGGATTGCGTGCCCGTGTGTGACTCTGGGACGACTGGGGGGTACACGTCTGTGTGTGGGCATGTGGCTGTGTGCTTGTATAACCTGGGGGGGTAGAGAGTGGTTATTATGATGATGGGGGGTGGTGGGCTGTGTATGGGCCCGCGTGTAATTGCGTGCCCGTGAGGGACTGGGGCTGCTGCCTGGGAGCGTGGGAGTGGGTGCTCACAAGCCGACGCGTGGAGTGTCCCCTGTGCCTGGGGCCTGCACACCGGGGCATTAATCTGTGTATTTGAGCGGGCCGCCTGTGGCTGTATATTTATATCTCTCTGTCTAATGCACGGGGGTGGGAGATTAACACCCAGGGTAGCCAAATACACCCTTGTAAGGCATACACGAGAAAAAGCTGGGTTTTAAGGAGGCGGCTGGTCATTTTCTGACTTACTCCTAAAATATTCCAGGGGAGGAGGTTGGCAAAGCCTCAGCTGCTGGTCATTTGACAGCTTCTGCCAGTCAGAGGGTTGCTGAGGGAGAAAGGGCAAGGCCTGCTGGCGGCACTGTTGGCTGTGGGTGCTAGGCGACAGGCGGCAAGGTGGCATTAAGAAGGGCTACCCCTTCCCCTCCCACCCCCCTGCCCGGGAGCTGGCCCTGGGCTGTCCCCAAGACCGAATCCCTCACGCCCTTTGACCTCCCCGAAGGCCTTCTCTAGGCTGCAACTCTGAATCTCCCAAGGTCCCAGAAGCACGTCTGCTTCTGTACCTTAGTTTTTGCTGTTCCCTCTGCCTCGAACACCCTTTCCAGTGCTTCACATCCCAGCTTCTACTCTTGCTGGGTCTCCACTTATATGTCATCTCCTCAGAAAACCCTTCCCTAATGTCCCCCGCCCCCGGCATAAATGTCTATCCATGTACTGTTTATTTTCGGTACAGCACTTATCACAGTCTGCGATCATATTGTTGGTTTTCCTCCTATTCTGCTGTCCCCACTAAAATAGAAGCCCCGTGAGAGCAGGGACTTGGCATGTCCTGTTCACTGCTGTGTCCCCGGTGCCCAGCACAGGGCGTGGCACATAATAGGATCTCAAATAAATAAGTAAATAAATATTGTTGAATGAATGAGAGAAAGAAGAATGGTCCTACCTAGGCCAATTCAGACAACATTTGATGCCCGCTACGCCCCAGGCCTGCGCTGCTCGCCACCACAGAGCCCCGGTGTGCTCAGGGAAACAGGTATTCGCATGTGCTCAGATTGTGTCTACCGAGACAAAGCGAGGTAGGTGAGGACACAGGACTCAGTTCCCTTGGCAAACAGTGGCACTCGGCCTGTGCTAGGCCCCGCCTCAGGGCGATCGGCCCTATTTGGCCCAGGCTCCTGCCTGCGAAGAGCTCACAGTGTAGAGGAGGCAAGAACTGATATCTGGGGAGACAAACCCACGCAGAGAATAATGCTCAATCGGGGAGCTGAGTGATGTGGTAGGCAGTGAGAACCGGGGAAGCCAGGGATGGGAGAGATGAACTCCGGGACTGGGACACCCTCGCAGACAAAGGGACCTGGGCCTGGGAGGAGGAGGAAGGGTGAGGGGACAGCCATGCTGTCTCTCAGGCCCCTCCACAAAGCCATGTCCAGGAAGAACAGAGAAGGCCCTCCACACTCCATGCTTCTCTGCTGGGGCTGACCCCTGCTGACAGTCTCACCTGGCCTTATAGTTTCCGGTGGAATTTGGCCAATAGGAGACACTGACTGGAGGTCAGTGTGAAGGAGGGGAGTTAGACTGAGATATTTCTACTACCCGCCTCCCCCTGTGATTTTGGCAGTTACTATGTTCCTCCACTGAAAGCCATGGCTCTTGAGGGGACGCCTGCACCCATGGGTCCAACTCTCTCCAGGTTCATTAACAAGGTTTCCTCCCCTTGCCCTTCAGGCTCCCCCCAAATGATTCCATCCCACTGTCGGAAGCCCCAGGGTACTTCGCCATTCCTGCCACACCTCTGTGAATAGTTCCTTCATTAAACCCTCTCCTGGCTAATGCTTTGTGTTCCCTTTTTCCTGCTCAGATCCCTAAGGTTAAGAACTAAACCAAGGGAAGGTGAGCCCTTGGCAGAGAATTCAGGAAGACCCTTTTTCTAAGTTTCTACCAAAACCAGAATTGGTAAAGTTGTGAACTGATCAAAATCCTATCACTGTTCATCCTAGGTGAACAGTGCCCTGACCACCACTCTGGGCGGGAGCCCAACCCAAGAGGTTCCTCTTAGCTCACCTCACTCAGACTTCTGCCTGTAGTTACCCTGGCCAGGAGAACAGGGCAGGGAGGGGGCCGAGCGGGGAGGAATACGGGGGATGACTGGCAGAGGGATGAGCTTCAAAGTAGGGAGCCACCAGAGGGCCACTCAGCGGGTGGAGCCTCGGCAGCAGCCTCTATCCAACTCCAGAGCATGCCCTACGGGAACTCGGGAAGCCAACCTCCCTGAACCTCAGTTCCCTGTCCGTGAAATGGGCAATTAATACCCCCTTCACAGGATTGTTGTGAAAAGTAATCAAATGTGAGGTTCAGCACATGAGCGAGTGGAGTGAACTTGCTCCAAAAGCTGAGGGCAGCACATTCCTCATTATTACTGGTGCAGGTAGAGGCCATTCTGCTGCGTTTCTGTGTGCCAAGAGCTCCCATCTAGAGGCCGGAGGAGGATAGGAAGAGCCCACTACTTCAAGGGAGCCGGGGCACAAATCCAAGCCTAAAACCTCCTCTGCAATTAGTCACTGTGTGACCTTAGGGAAGGCACTCTACCTCACGGATTGTTGTCTTCTCCGTAAAATCAGATGACACTTTTAACCTCATAGGTTTGCTGTGAGGGTGAACCTAGAACACAAAAAGCATTGTCGAGTACCTGACGCATTCTAAAAGATTTTTATTTATTTATTTATTTATTTATTTATTTATTTATTTATTTAAGAGAGAGAGAGCACAAACAGAAAGAGTGGCAGAGGGAGAGGGAGAAGCAGGCTCCCCGCTGAGCAAGGAGCCTGATGTGGGGCTCGATCCCAGGACCCTGGGGTCAGGACCTGAGCCGAAGGCAGACGCTTAACCGACTGAGCCACCCAGGCGCCCCCTGATGCATTCTAAGTGCCCAAGAAATCATAACTATTATTTTAAAAACTCCCTTTTCTCCCTCTTAGCTGTCCCCAAAACTGCAACCAGGGGCTGACCTACTGCAGTATCTTCCTTCCTTCTTCCCTTCCTCCTTTCCTTTTCTTCCTTCCTACCTGACTGCCTGCCTGCCTTCTTGTACTCATTCATTCATTCATTTTAACATTTATTAAGCTGGACAATGTGCTAGATCCTAGAAACATAGAGACTAGGAAGTCATTAATGCATAAATATCCCATCTGTATTTCTTTGTTGTTATATCCCTAGCCCCTAGGTTTTCAGTAAATAATGGCCAAATGAGTAAATTATATTAGTTGTTTTCCTGAGCACCCATGACATGTCAGGTGCGGAGCTAAGCCTTTTATCTCCGTTACTGCAATGGATCCTCAGGGCGAGAGCCCCAAACAGAAGGCCTGTAATAAAGCTCATTTACTAATGGTAAGACTGAGGCTCAGACAGATTAGCAACTTAGTTGACTAAAGTCACACAGGCAGGAAATGGTGGCACTCCAATTCAGGATACTGCCTCGGCTAATGACTGAATCATTTTTTATCATCATGGTTGTCAATATGCATGACTTCCAGAGGCTTATCTTATAGTCTAGGGAGTGTCCGGTGGCCTTTTCCTCCTCAGACTTACCCAGGAGAAGCCCAGGCCTGGGTTCAAATCCAGTTCTGCATGGCTGGGCTTTACTTAACCTCTCTGAACCTCAGTTTCCAGTGCTGGAAAATGAGGTTGGGTGGATGTTCCACAAGAAAATACAGAGGGAATGCCCAGCACCTTGCCCAGTATACAAGAGTCGCTTGATAAACGCTCTCCTCTATTTTCTCCTCCCTCCCTGCCCGCTGTGGCCGCTGTCTGGGGGTTTGTGGTTTGTAGGGGTGCTAAGCACCACAGAGGA